TCGGGATAGTTGAAATCGCCCATGACTACTACATCTCTTCTCTGTGCCTGTTTGGTCAACTGTTGGCAGAAGACTTCATCAAGTTCTTCCTCCTGGCTTGGGGGTCTGTAGTAGACGCCTACAACGACATCTTTTTGAGTCCCAGTTCCCTTGATTCTTATCCAGATGATTTCAAGCTGGTTTCCCAGATTGCTGTCTTGAATCTCTTCTGCAGCATAAGAGTTTTTGACATATATGGCTACTCCGCCTCCTCTCCCCTTTGTTCGGTTTCTGTGAAAGAGGTTATACCCCTCGATATCTACATTCCAGCGATAGGAGTCATCCCACCAGGTTTCAGTGATCCCTATGATATCATATTTGTGGTGTTGTGCTAAAAGTTGGAGTTCCTTGTTTATTTCCCATGCTCTGTGCATTAGTGTAAAGACATGTGAGCCCCTGAGATCTTCCCTTGAGCTGTTTAATTGGGATTATTGTGCTTTTGGTACTTGGTCCTTGTTGTGTTTGTGCAGCCCTCCGTTTAGCCTTCTGGCGATTCCCAGACATTATGGGTAAAGTAGTGTTCGCAAGGCTGTTGTCCCCCTCCCCCGGTGGACCTAGTTTAAAGTGCGTCTAATGAGGTTTGCGAGTCTGTGAGCAAAAAGGTGTTTTCCTACTTGTGTGAGATGCACCCCATCCCTTGCCAGTAGGCCATCCTCCTGGAAAAGCAGGCCATGGTCGAGGAACCCAAAGCGTTCCTCCTGACACCATTTTCTAAGCCAGTCATTGACCTGTACTATTTTTCTGGCTCTTGTGGGTCCGTGTCTTACAACAGGGAGGAGGGATGAAAAGACCACCTGTACATTACATTCTTTTAGCTTTACTCCTAGAGCTCGAAAATCATTTGTGATCTTTTGAAACGTATGCCTTGCAGTATCATTGGTTCCTACATGAATCAACATGAGGGGAGGACGGTGATAGGGCTTGAGGAGCCTGGTGAGCCTCTGAGTGATATGGTGTATTTTTGCCCCCGGTAGGCAGCATATTTCTCGAGCCATGCCATCTGGTCTGGAAATGACAGCTTCCGTTCCTTTAAGGAGGGAGTCGCCTACTACCAAGACCTGTTTACTTTCGGGAATGACAGGGCCCCTTTTGTGCAATGTAGTGTGTAGGTCTCCAGAAAAGTGATCCTGTTGGTGTGAATTGTGTAGGTGAAAAGTGTTATCCTCCTCCTCGACATCCCCGGTGCATTCGTCAAGGACAATCCATTGAGATTCTCCTGTATGTGTTCCTGTTGCTCCTGGTCTATGGTTGGGGATGGTACACCTGCAGGATTGTGCAAGTGTGAATGTTGTGAAGTGTTGTCCCAGTCAGGGCTATCCCCCGCACACTGATCAAGGATGAGCCACTGATCAGTATCTAAGCCATTCTGGTCTTCCCCAATATGTTGTGTTTCTTGGTCAGGTGCTAGTTGTGTGAGATAGTATGCATAGTATTCTGGGTTCAGTCCTTGGGCTATTTCTAAAACAATTGGATAGCAGGTGTTATGAAACACTTGTAGAACCTTCCTTCCCAAATAGTTGTTGCCAGTCAGAACAGACAATACTGGATAAGGGAGGCATCAACACTGTAGAATTAATGAAGGTTTATACCACTTTAGCTGCCATGGCTCTATGCTATGGAATCATGGGAGTTGTAGTTTTACAAGGGCTTTAGCATTCTCTGCCAAAGAGCTCATGCCTCACCAAACTAGAAATCCCAGATTCCATAGCTTTAAACAATAGCAGTTAAAGGAACATCAAGTTGCATTAATACACTGCAGTGTAGATACACCCATAGACATTGACCTGGTTTAAGGCGATATTCAGTCAAGTAGTTGGACACTGTAATACTGTAATACACTCAAAGCTTTAGTCTGAACTATCCAAGGTGCACAATATCATCCTCCCAAAATGCTTAGGATCTTTCATAATTCTTTCCAAATTTAGAGTGGCTGCTACACCTTTATTTAAACTAATAGAGCAGATATTTTGTGTGTATCCATTTTTGACCTCTTGTTTTTGCAAAAGAACAATGTCCCAGGTGCCATTCTTATGTCTCCAAGTGCTATTTTAGCCAAGTAAAACAACTTTAGAAAACAACACACAAAGATTTTGTTTAGTTGTATGGAGTACAGAGAATTGTCCCCCTCTTTTGCCTTTTCAGTCATGGCCCTGTAGGTAAAAGCTATTACTGAAACAAGAAAACAAGTCTAGGCTGCTGTGAGTTTTCCGGGCTGTATGGCCATGTTCCAGAAGAATTCTCTCCTGATGTTTCGCCCACATCTATGGCAGGCACCCTCAGAGATTGTGCGGTCTGTTGGGAAATAGGCAAGTGAGGTTTATATATCTGTGGAATGTCCAGGGTGGCAGAAAGAACTCTTCTCTGTTGGAGGCAATAGCTCTGTTGACATGAGGCTTTGAAGCTGCAAGGCCGTTCAGTGCTAATCAAGGTGGTCAACTGCAACATTCACACTTACCTCAAACAGACAAGAGTTCTTTCTCCCACCCTGGACATTCTACAGATATATAAACCTCACTTGCCTAGTTTCCAACAGACCTCACAACCTCTGAGGATGCCTGCCATAGATGTAGGCAAAATGTCAGGAGAGAATGCTTTTAGAACATAGCCATAAAGCCTAGAAAACTCACAGCAACCCAGTGATTCTGGCTATGAAAGCCTTCAACAACACATAAAACAACACTAGTTGGGCCACTAGTCTGCTTGTCAAATTACAACAACTTTCACAGCATTTTAAGAAATGATTGAGTATTTCAATGTTTCTGCCGTACCTTGGTGTGTGGTTTTGGCACACGGAGGACACTTTCTTAGATAAGGAGTTACAACTATGATCAGAACAACCAGGCCTCCAATGCTGGCCGCCAGTACGCCAATGATAGTTCCGATGGACTCTTCTATACCAAACAACCCTATGGGGAAATTCACAGTCATCAGAAACCTACCACACTTGATACAGAGTACGTCAATGAGAAACAATAAAACTTTCAAAGCATCACAGCTGACGGTATTGAGAAACAAATATTAAAATCTTGGGATGCATCTACACTATAACATTAATACAATTTGGCATAACTTTAACTGTCAGGCTCAATGTAATAGTAATAGTAGTAGTTGTTGTGGGTCTTTAGACATTTCTGCCAAAGAATGCTGGTACTGGAGCCTCAGAAGAAAAAGAAAAAAAACAGACACAGGGGGTGTCACCTGGCACTATCCCTGTGGGTTTTTCAGTCACAGGTGAAAGCCCTCTGCTTACTCAGGGCTTTAACACCTTACACAGTTTGGTTGTTTCAATAGGAAAATCTGTGAGTAGAATCACCTTTATGTGTGTGAAAAGAGGATTCTCTGCGCCACACATAAAGTGTCTTAAGACACAACAGGAAGGAGGAATCTCTGAAAAGAAGAATGTTCCATGAATGGCTCCAACAAGAGGCAGATTTTGGGTCCTGTAGTGCCTGTGTAAAGTTGAACTGTTATGAGGCCCCTTCTACACTGCCATATAAAATCCAGATTTTCTGCTTTGAACTGGATTATCTGGCAGTGTAAACGCATGTTTGAACTGGATTATCTGGCAGTTCAAAGCAGATAATGTGGATTATCAGATCTGATAATATGGATTATATGGGAGTGTAGCAGGGACTTGTGTCTGCACTGCCATTTTTTTATTGTCTCAGAAGCAACTTGAGAAACTGCAAGTCGCATCTGGTGTGAGAGAATCAGCCATCTACAATAATATAGATGGGTTCCTGAGTGAAATGTATATAACAACTGTTTGTTGTCGCTGTGAGAATCAGCCATCTGCCAAGATGTTGCCTGGATGTGTTACCATCTTGTGAGAAGCTTCTCTCATGTCCCCACATGGGAAGCTGGAGCTGACTGATGGGAGCTCACTCTGTTTTGTGCAACTGCTGACCTTCAGGTCAGCAGTTCAGCTGGCACAAGAGTTTAACCCACTGCCCCACCATGGCCCCTGCATTGCCATATAATCTGGGATAAACAGATAACTGGCAATCTACACTGGGATAGAGGGCAGTGTAGATCCAGTCTAACTGAGACATGTAAAAAGTAGCTGAAAAAGTGAAATGATAGAGGATTGATTGGGACCATTTTTACCAGACTGGGACAGCTGGATAGTAAGTGCATTGATTTAGGGTTGTAGCATTTATTTGGTTTTGCGAGTAATTTTAATTATTTTATAGAGTTAACTATCAAGGCTATATGAAGTGCCGTAGCAGAATTTCAATAAATACATTGCAACGTAAAAGTTTAATTTCAAAGTACATAAAACGTTTTCTACTAAAAATATATTGATTTGGGTTTACATTTAATTGTTAGCTTTAACAGAAATGGAAACAGAGAACCCAATTCTTGCTTAAGTGCTTTGCTGTATTAGGGATGAGGAAACTTTGGCTGAGGTGTGTTTGCATTGGTAACCGCAAGATGGCACCAAAGCTTAAAACAGCAGCATTGCAATGATTTTTTACTCTACACTTCTTTCAGGACCCGTCCACACAATCATATATCCCAGAATATCAAGGTAGAAAATCCCACAATATCTGCTTTGAACTGGGTTATCTGGTCCACACTGCTATATATTCCAGTTCAAAGCAGATAATGTGGGATTATATTCAGCTGTGTGGAAGGGGCCTCAGCTACACATGTCCAACGTGAGACCCACGGGCCAAGTTTGGCCCGCCATGTCATTTTATGTGGCCTGCTAAACTTTCAATGTCAAGGCAATTTAGCTACATTTATGTCTTACAATTACAAAAGGCCCTTTGAAGGCAACCAAATGATGTGGCCCTCGGTGAAAATGTGTTTGACATCCCTGTTTTAGGCCTTTAGGCAGGAGTGTGAGTCTGTATTAGGAAAGAAGAAAGAAGAGAGTACAGTAGTATTCATAATCATTATTGCATCCACAGTAGTAAATACTTTAATGCTAGACATATTTACCTGGGAATCAGTCACACTGTGCCAATGGGAATTTTCAATAAATATACATAGGACACAAATTAGAGTCAGTTAATACTTATCTTTGAGCTAGACTATTTTGAGATCAAGAAGTATTATGTTAATATATCTCTTAGAAAAATGATGGGCATACCACACACAGGTCATTATTATTAGTATTATTAGATTATTAGTATTTTGTTACTCATTGAAAAGTGGACTTAAAGAAAATACAATGAAATAGACAATCCTAGTTTTGATACTCATTAAACATCAAAAACAAAATTGTCCATGTCACTGTATTTCAGTTTCTACATATAGGTGTGAAAGCTGGACAGTGAAGAAAACTGATAGGAAGAATCAATTCTTTAGAAAGGTGTAGTTGGAGGCGAGTTTTTTGGCTCCCATAGATTATATTGATAGGCATCAAATTGCTGCTTGGTTGTAAGCTGCCTTGGGTGACCTTCAGGTTCAAGAAAGGCGGGATAGAAATATCGCAAATAAAAAAATTATAAATAAATAAATACACCAAAAAAAACATTCAGAAAAATTTGTAAAAGATGTTCTATCAATGGTATAACCCCGGTAATACTTTCAAAATGCTATAAAGACCTTAATGCAAAATGTTGGAAGTGTGATAAAGAAAGGCATGTTCCACCACATGTGGTGGAACTGCGAGAAAGCTAGTAAATATTGGAAAGAAATACATAGAGCGACCCAAGAGATCCTTCAAATTGAATTCCAATTTAAACCAGAGTACTTCTTATTGGGAATTATAGATTTTAATTTGGACAGAAGTAAGGATACCTTATTTAACTATATAATATCCAAGGCTAGGGTGTTGGAGGAAAATTCTGAGAGTGCCTTGAACCGCGAGAAGATCCAACCAATCCATACTTCAGGAAATAAAGCCCGACTGCTCATTGGAGGGAAGGATATTAGAGGCAAAAGATGAAGTACTTTGGCCACATCATGAGAAGATGGGAAAGCTTGGAGAAGACAATGATGCTGAGGAAAATGGAAGGAAAAAAGAAGAGGGGATAACCAAGGGCAAGATGGATGGATGGTATCCTTGAAGGGACTGGCTTGACTCTGAAGGAGCTGGGGGTAGTGACGGCCGACAGGGAGCTCTGGCGTGGGCTGGTGCATGAAGTCACGAAGAGTCGGAAGTGTCTGAACGAATAAACAACAACAACAAAGAATAGTCTTTGCCTGACATTGGAGAGGAAAAGAAACCCCAAATTTAAGAGAATGGTTAATTAAGATGCTGGAAGTTAGAAGCATCGACAGCTTGACACAACTTAGATATAAACAAAATAAATCAGCAACAGACTGGAGTTTACTAATGAAGTTTATGGAACAAGAAAAAAATGGAAATACTGATATAAACAAAATTGTGGAGAAGAAGAGGATAAAATATATAAGAAGAGAGAAGGAGAGAAGACAGATCCCAGAAATGAGAAGATGGGAAGTCAATCAGCCCCTCTCCCCTGCCCCCATTCCCTTCTCTTTCCCTACCTGGTTACCCCTTTTATGTTAATTGAAAATCTTTCAGTAAAGAGATTTTTAAAAGCAAAAACCAAAAACCAATAGTCTGATAGGTAATCAAGCCTCTACTCTCCCTAGAAGCCAAGACTAAACTGGGACTGTTGCAGATGGGTAGGTCCTGAATCTACCAGACCGTTGAGAGCTGGATGATTTGGTGGTCTGTCACTCATAGGGTCATTATATGTTGAAGTTGTCAGCTGTAGAGCAAGTTGTCTTCCCTCTTCCCTCCTTTTTTCCCTTCAGAAACTGATGTAGAAAAGAAGCAAGCAAAATATTACCCATTGCTCTCTGGATCCTGAGCTTTGTGCCATCACCAGTCACTTCTTCTCCATTGGAAAGAATCACCTGGCAGAAATAAGTCCCATGATCACTGGTGGTGACATTTATGATAGTCAAAGTTGCATCACCTTGAGATAAATCCCCTGTCATGAAGATCCGTGTGCTGTTTGCCACAACAGTGACATTGTTCTCCATGAGGTCCCTCTGTCCTTTCTCATCCTGCTTGTACCACTTCACGGTTAGGTTTCTTAATGATGGATCATGAGAACCATGGAAGTGGCATCCAAGGGCCACCGTTTCACCCACTTTGGCTTTTTCTCTGCTTGGGCTCTGAGACACAAATATATTCCATGGTTCAGGCGTCATTTTCTTTGTATGAAGCACAACATTGTGGGTGGTGGATGACAAAATACGTGAGACCACTGTGTTTTCCTGTGTTGCATTTCCAATACCAGCATAAACCCCTGGAAAGGAAGAAGAGGGATGAATATTCATGAGGTTTATGGAAAATAACTCCTGAGCAAATTGTGAGATTTTGCAAGTGACAGAATTGATGCCAGAACATTCATGGATCTTCTAAATCTGAGCTGCTCACCTATCTAATGTGTTAGTTTTTTTTCCAAATGTCCCAAGACTTGCCACCATATCTGTGTCCACTGGCTACAATTGTTTCTGGAAACGTGTGTGGGGGACTGACAGTCAAAGGCTTGGACTGCCATGTAAAATTCAGATTATCGGCTTTGAACTGGATAATATGGTAGTGTAGACTCATATACTGTGTCCATTTCTGGGCACAACAATTGAAGGAAGATGTTGACAAGCTGGAATGTGTCCAGAGGAGGGTGACTAAAATGATCAAGGCTCTAGAGAAGAAGCCCTATGAGGAGTGGCTTAAAGTGCTGGGCATGTTTAGCCTGAAGAAGAGAAGGCTGAGAGGAGACATGATAGCCATTTATAAATATGTGAGAGGAAGCCTTAGGGAGAAGGGAGCAAGCTTGTTTTCTGCGGACCTGGAGACTAGGATGCGGAGCAATGGCTTCAAACTACAAGAAAGGAGAACCTGAACATTAGGAAGAACTTCCTAGCTGTAAGAGTTGTTCAGCAGTGGAACTCTCTGCCCCAAAGTATGGTGAAAGCTCCTTCTTTGGAGGCTTTTAAACAGAGGCTGGATGGCCATTTGTTGGGGGTGCTTTGAATGCAATTTTCCTGCTTCTTGGCAGGGAGTTGGGCAAGATGACTCATGAGGTCTCTTCCAATTCTATGATTCTATATAATCCAGTTCAAAGTAGATAATATGACAGTGTAGAAGGGGTGTTTGGTACATGAAACAACCCAAGGAATAACACTTCAAGTTGCACTGCTCAAAGTTACACATATTTGTGTGGTCTAACAGCCACAATCATGTGGTTTGGAGGTTCAATGGGCATTCTAGTATCAGAATGTGTCAGAGAAAGTGGGAAATGAAGTGGTGGGTAATTGGGTGACTTTCAGAGAGAAAAGTAATTTCAGTTAATTCATATTGTAATAAACTTTGAGCCTTCAGCACAGCTGGTTCAATTATAAGTCAAAGGAAGGTGGACACTTGATGCAGAATATTCTGCATGCCATGACAGAGCAGGAAATAGTTAATGAGTTTGATATTATTGCATTTTCAGCAAAAGGTGCTTGTAGGATTTCCTGCCTAATGTGCCAAAGTAACTCAGTTGGCCTTTGGTACTAAGCATCTGCAAGTAGGGATGGGGTGCAAGGGATTTTGCTTTTCTGCCTTAAGCAGCTAAATGTTTGGATCAGCTCTGGATTTCAGGGCAGAGAAGAAAGAAGCTTAGCTTTGGATATTTTGCATTGGGAGAGACTTGTGCTAGGTGTGGTTCTTTCTCAGTCTGCAAGAATGAATGCAATTTGAACACACTGAATGCTATGGAACAATGAGAGTTGTAGTTTTGCAAGACATTTGGCCATCTCTTCATAAAGGTACTGGTGCCTCATCAAACGACAACTCCTGTGATTCCATAGCATTGAGCCAGGGAAGTTAAAATTTTGTCAAACTGAATTAATTCTACAGCGTAGATGCACTCCTAGAGCAGTGTTTCTCAAACTTCCTAATGCCGCGACCCTTTAATACAGTTCCTCATGTTGTGGTGACCCCCAACTATAAAATTATTTTCATTGTTACTTCATGAAAGGTCTACTACAGACCTCCAAGCCAGGAGGAAGAACTTGATGAAGTCTTCTGCCAACAGTTGACCAAACAGGCACAGAGAAGAGATGTAGTAGTCATGGGCAATTTCAACTATCCCGATATTTGCTGGAAAACAAACTCGGCCAAGAGTACAAAGTCCAACAAATTCCTCGCTTGCCTTGCAGACAATTTCATGGTCCAGAAGGTAGAAGAGGCAACAAGGGGATTGGCTACTCTTGATCTCATCCTAACAAATGCGGAGGACCTGATCGATGCGGTTGAAGTGGTAGGATCCTTAGGGGCAAGTGACCATGTGCTCCTGCAATTTGAGGTACAAAAGAAGGCCGAAACTAAGACAAGTCAAACCCGCATTTTGGACTTTAGGAGAGCTGATTTCCAAAAAATGAAGGAAACACTGAGCAGCATTCCGTGGACACAGATACTAAAAGACAAGGGAGTTACAGATGGATGGGAGTTTCTCAAGAGTGAAATACTCAAGGCGCAGTTGCAAACCGTGCCAACAAAAAGAAAAAATAGGACAAGTGCAAAGAAGCCAGAATGGATGTCCAAAGAACTTCTAACTGTGCTGAGACACAAAAGAGACATGCACAAGAAGTGGAAAAAGGGAGAAATCACCAAAGAAGAATTCAAACAAATAGCCAACTCCTGTAGGGAAAAGGTCCGAAGGCTAAAGCAAAAAACGAGCTCAGGCTTGCCAGGGACATTAAAAACAATAAAAAGGGATTCTTTTCTTATGTCAGTAGAAAAAGGAAAAACAAGGAGGCGATAGGGCCTCTTCGAGGAGAAGATGGGGCAATGCTGACAGGGGATAGGGAAAAGGCAGAACTACTAAATACCTTCTTTGCCTCAGTCTTCTCACAAAAAGAAAGTCATCAAAGAAAGGCCAAAATATAAAGAAATTTTGAAAAACTATCAAGGAGATCTAATATTAAAGGAACAACAGGAATTAATTACCATAGATAAAAAATATCATGGCTACAATATTGGCAAATCAAAGAGAAGTATAAATTGGATAAAGAAGTAGGGTTCTCAAATGGTAGAGACTTTTGGGATAAAATACTAGAAACAGAAAGGAAACTAATAACAAAACTATACAAACAACTTTTAGAATGGTAATTAGAATCTAGAGAAGACAAAAAATACATGAAAAGATGGAATGAAAATTTAAGAAGAAGCATCAGACAAACAGAGTGGAAGGAAATTTGGAGGAAAAGATTAAAATACACATATGCCACCGACCTTAGGGAAAATTGGATCAAAATGTCACTAAGATGGTATCTAACCCCCCAAAAATTAGGGAAAATATATAATAACACAAGTTCGACCTGTTGGAAATGTAAGAAGAAAGAAGGTTCCTACTTTCACATGTGGTGGACCTGTGAAAAAGCGAAAGCCTATTGGAAGAAGATACAAAAAGAAATACAAAACATGTTAAAAATAAAATTACCAATGAAACCAGAGCTGTTCCTATTGGGAATGTACGATAACAATATAGAAAAAAATAAAGATAAAATACTATTTTTAGCGATAACGGCCGCAAGGATGTGCTATGCAAAAAGATGGAGGCAAACAGAAACACCAGAGGAAGATGAATGGAGAATAAAAATGCTGGACATTAGTAACCTAGATAGACTTACCTTTCTACTATTGAAAAACAAGGAAACTGGAAGAAAGGAGGAGCGGCTCAGGACTTCATGTCTTCCATGGCAACCATGGGGCTGTCCCAACGGGTATCTGGCCCCACCCACAGTGCTGGACACACATTAGATCTGGTTTTCTGCCAGGGATGGGAGCAAGGTGGCGGTGTTGAGGAGTTGTCCACCTCTCCGTTGCCATGGACCGACCACTATCTGGTCAGATTTAGACTCACTGCACCTCCTAACCTCTGCAGAGGTGGGGGACCCATTAAGTTGGTCCGCCCCAGGAGGCTTATGGATCCGAACGGATTCCTGATGGCTCTTGGGGATTTTCCCGCCACCTCGGTTGGTGATCCTGTTGATGCCCTGGTGTCTCTCTGGAATGGGGAGATGACTAGGGCAATAGACACGATTGCTCCGGAACGTCCCCTCTCAAGTAGCCGAGCTAAACCAGCTCCTTGGTTCACCGAGGAGCTGGCAGCGATGAAGCGAAGAAGAGGAGACTAGAGCGCGTGTGGCGTTCGGACCCGAGCGAGTCAAATCGAACACGGTTTGTGTTGCCCTTCTAAGGGCATATGCCGTGGCAATAAAGGCGGCAAAGAAATCTTTCTTTGCGGCCAATATTGCGTCTGCAAAGAACCGTCCGGCTGAGCTGTTTCGAGTTGTCAGAGGTCTATTAAATCCCACCATTCCGGATGGGAACCCTGACAACTCGACGGCCCGCTGTGAAGCATTTGCTCGGTTCTTTGCAGACAAAGTCGCTTTGATCCGTTCTGACCTGGACACCATGTTAACGGCAGTCTCAGGGGATGTAACACGAGCATCTGCTTATCCGATTTTGTTGGAGTCATTTCAATTGGTGAAACCTGAGGATGTGGACAAGATACTTGGAGGAATGAGGGCAACCACATGCATCCTAGACCCCTGCCCATCCTGGCTTCTAAAGGAGGCCAGAGGGGGATTGGCCGAGTGGGTGAAGGTGGTGGTTAATGCCTCCCTTCGGGAAGGCAAAATTCCAGCCAGCTTAAAACAAGCTGTGATAAAACCGCTGTTGAAGAAACCATCACTGGACCCCACTCAATTCGTCAACTATCGGCCTGTTTCCAATCTTCCCCTTTTTGAGCAAAGTCCTGGAACATGTGGTGGCCTCACAACTCCAGGTATTCTTGGTAGACACTGATTATCTAGATCCGGCACAGTCTGGCTTTAGGCCGGGACATGGTACCGAGACAGCCTTGGTCGCCTTAGTGGATGATCTGCGCAGGGAGCTAGACAGGGGGAGTGTGTCCCTGTTAGTTCTGCTGGACCTCTCAGCGGCCTTCGATACCGTCGACCACGGTATCCTTCTGAGACGCCTCGCGGGAATGGGCCTTGGTGGCACTGTTCTGCAGTGGCTCAGGTCCTTCCTAGAGGATCGTACTCAGAAGGTGTTGCTGGGGGACAACTGCTCTACCACACAACCATTGTCTTGTGGGGTCCCACAGGGCTCAATATTGTCCCCCATGTTATTTAACATCTACATGAAGCCGTTGGGAGAGATCATCCGGAGTTTCGGGGTGCGGTGTTATCTGTACGCAGATGACGTCCAACTCTGTCACTCCTTCCCACCTACTACTAAGGAGGCTGT